AGATGGGTCAGTTGGCCCTCTCCCCCCTCACTTTTGAATTCACTCTCGTCTAAACTTGACACGTAAGAAGGTGCTTCTGAATTTTCTTAGTTAGAAGATGATGACGAGGATAAAATAACTTTGTACATTAGAAAGTAAAGACAAAGTAATAGAATTTTCAGAAAAAATGAAAGTGGAAGAGAAAATCACCTTGGGGATGAAGAGGGTGGAAGAAGTTCTTAGGATTTATAAAAAGGAGAAGATGTACAAAAAAATGAGACTCTTTTCCCTTTATATAGGAAAATTTTTGGCTGCCAAAGGTCAGGCCCATAAGTTGACCTACTTATGGATTGTCAACTATTAAAGGCAATCGAGCCAATAATTCTACGCTATTCGAAAAAGTCAATTTATTTACATCCCAAATTTTTTATAATAAATAACTAACTAACTACATAAATAAACTTTGCAATGTAAAAGATGAAAGTGCTACCTCTTCACGGTAAATATTGATAAAAGATAAATCGGTTAGTGATGTTATATGATATAAATAATGGGCTACGTGGCCTATTGACTGAAGATAACTTCCGCTATGTCAGGTAACTTGTGCTATGACAGAGCGACTGTCGCTATGATAATCCAACTGCCATTATGGTATAGTGACTAACGCTATGCCACTCTGACTATCTCTATGTTATACTGACTACAAATATGGTAGATTGATTATTGCTATGCTAGTCCAACTGTCACTTGGTTGACCGACTACCACTATAGTAGAGAGACTATGGCTATACTATCCTGAATTCCGTTATGCTAAACTAATGCTATGCTAGATGTCTCTCGTTATGATAGATCGATCATCATGACTCTCAACTGTCTAAACATCTTTTTAAGTTGATTGATAACTTTTTGATGGTTATCATTGTCCCATAAACCGTCTGGTGGGTAAAAACCATCCACTTAGGTCGTGGGCAAAAACTGTATGGTGGATGGTCATGCTACGCTAGATACATAGACAATATCTGTCTGGCGAATACGTGACATCAAACACTTATAAATGCTCCAAAGGCATGCCTAGTATGTGAATTTGGTTTTTTCTCAGCATAGTTTTTCTCTGTTTTCATAAGTCATTTTGTTCAAAACCTCATTACTAGGTACGACGGGAGAAGAAAGTCCCAGCCTTGTTTTGCAGGTGTTCATTTGCTCATTGGAGCAACAAAAGCCTCCTTGTCCCACTAATGATGTCTGAAGGTCATTTCAATATTATTTCAACAATCATTAAAACAAAACTTATTTTTGAATTCATTTTCAATCATATATTCTTACAATAAATTATTCTGTATGAAAATTCAAAATTTTTGTCTACTTTTTAACTACTCATTCTCCAAATAATCACTATTTCAAAACTCATTTTAATCATTTTCACGCAACATAGTCTCACACAGTGACTATATGACAGTTAAAGCATAAAATCAATTACCAACTTGCAATCAAAACTTAACACTTCAAATATGGAAAATAATTCCTAAATTTCTAGCACAAGCAATGTTACCCCTTCAGGGTATCCACAATCCTATTGTCACATCATATAATGATGCGCTAATGCTGAAATTTAAACTGGGATAAGCCAATATATTGGAGGAGACCAATTTGAGTTCGTAAATTATGAGAGACGCGAACTTATCACTTTAGGACTACCACTATCCGTCCTAAAGTCTCTAGCAACTGCAGCAACCAACCAACAACGATCGAATCCTGAATGCCCGAAGAACAACTCTATCCAGATTCTATTGCACAGCTTGAAACAGAAAACTAACAATATTAAAATGTCAGAAATAATGTTAGCAACAAACTGCCCGAAGAGACCTCCGCCAAAAAGTGCCTCATGTAACATCCAATCTCTTTGAGCGTGGACTTCACGCGCGACCACTGATCACACGCACCTGATCGTCGGAACCGTCTCTATTGCACGTCACATTAGTGGTCTCCGCTTCACCAAACTCTTTGTGGATTGGCCGAAAAATGCGAAAATAGAGGCTGATTTTTGACAATTTTCTGGATAGTTTTTGATCTGATTTCTACTTCATTTCTGTAGATTTTTTCGACATTTTTCGGTATATTTCACAAGTCAAAACCACCACCTTGAAGTTCTGATACCAAATGTTGCGGAAGCTCGCTCCAAGAATCTTCAAATCGGTGTTTTCTAGGCTTAGTCCAACGTACATTTCTCTACTAAACAACCAAACCAACCGGCTCTGATCTACAACCAATATATTCACCTCAATTGCAATTCAATCTTACCCATAAAAAATAAGAAAACAGTGATGATTTGTAGCCACAAAGGAAGGAAGAAAAACAACACAAAGATAGGCAAGGAAGAAACAACAAAACACAAAGTTTGGTCACCAATTTTGGACACCACAAAGGAGCCGTTTTTCTTTACTATGGGGTACCTGAATTCTCTTCACTTTAACACACAAATCACACTAGAAAATCGCTAGGGTTATAGCCTTATAAGTAAAGGGTTAGGCCTTAAGTTGGACCTATAAGAGATTTAAACGGGCCAAAATTCAAGTCATCCAAGAGGGAATACAATTGGATCGGGTAGAGCTCATGAATTTGGTTGTTGGGCTAAATTCATTAATCGGCCTAGGCTTATGAAATATATAATCCCACGTTAACATCATAGGTCGGGATTTATTAGGTATCAAAAATCAACAAATTTTAATTAATGTAACTTCATCCAAGGCCACTAACAAAAATCATCTATTACAACCTAACAAGTGACTAGTATTACATTTAATGCATTTACATAAGAGTTTTACATCTTAGTGCATTTATATTGTTTAACTCAATATTGATAAACAATCTCGTTATTGAAGCTCAACGATCACCCTAATTTACTCAAATTTTTGGATTCTCCATTGGTTGCCTATCTAAGTTGTTTAAGCTATTGTCCCTTTAATTATAAGTCGTATTTAGATATTTGATTCAACTATTTCTAATTAAATTGAGAAATTACTTGTAAATTGTTTAGTTGTCTATCATTCTTTTAAAAGGAGGAAAAAAAAACTTTATTTTGATGAACTAGTTAAAAACGATACCAAAAGTATGAAATAGGAAATAAGTTTATGTATGTATTCAAAAAATACGCATCAAGGGTACAAGTATCCAAGGCAAAAAGTTAAAGGGGGAAAAAAGTGGTGTGAGGTACAAGACAGCGTGTGTGCAACAAAGTGAAAAATTGTCATTAGGAAAACCATTTTTCCCTCGCACTCAATCTTTGAATTTATGCTTTGGCAATGGGTTGGCGCCTATATTATATCTCAATTTTATAAGTTTACTTGTAATTTCACCAACCCATGTTTCTTCTTTGGCCTTAAAATAGAACATTCTTTTCTTCTGATTCTAATGATATAAACAGAAAAAGTAAGCACTTTAATCCTCTAGAGATTATCTACTTTGCCAATTTAACAAGTGATTAAAATTCCAAAGAGACAATATATATAGCTCTATTCCTTCCACCTAAAGGGATGCCATCCTTGGTGTCAACCAACCAAGGATATACATCTAGTTTAATTCTTTATAGAAAGTTGAGCTGTCCTATTTTTAATTTTTTTTTTCTCTTAAGCTGTAATTTAATTTAATTTTAATTATTATAAATTCATCCAAGCCCAATAACAAAAATTATCGATTACAACCTAGCAAATAACTAGCATTACATTTAATGCATTTATATAAGAGTTTTACATCTTAGTGCATTTATATATTGATTGATTTTTTTTTAATATTGTTTTATTCAATATTAATAAACATTCTCATTCAATTTAAGTGGAATAAACAAACTAGATTCCTTCTTGGTTAGTCAAATTCCGATGATAACCACATAATTGCAAGAGATCCGGACCCATTTTTTTTCTAATCCTTCGAGAAAAGGATTCATTCTCTTCATAAAAAAATGGGAGGTAGAACCACTAAAGAAGCAAGCCCTATGGCCAATCCAGTAGCAATAACAAAAGCGGCAAAAAATAGTGGATTCATGAAGTATTTAAATCAAAATATCTTAATTTCTATTGAAGCTCAACGATCACCCTAATTCACTCAAATTTTTGGATCCACCGCTGGTTGCCTATCTAAATTGTTTAAGCTAATGTCCTGTCAACTGTAAGTAGTATCTAGATATTTGGTTCAACTGTTTCTAACTAAATTATGAATTATTTGTAAATTGTTTAGTTGTCAGTCATTCTTTTAAAAGGAGAAAAACAAAATTATTCTGATGAACTAGTTAAAAATGATACCAAAAGTACGAAATTGGAAATAAGTTTATGTATGTATTCAAAAATACACATCAAGGATAAAAGTATCCAAGGCGAAGGGGCTATATATAAAAGTAAGAAAAAGTTAAAAGGGGAAAAAAAAGTAGTGTGATGTACATGAGAGCGCGTGTGCTACAAAGTGAAAAAATGTAATACTTGTCACCAAGAAAGTCATTTTTCTCTCTCACTCAATCTTTTGAATTTATGCTTTGGCGATAGGTTGGGGCACATAATATATCTCATTTTTATAAGTTTACTTGTAATTTCGCCAACCCATGTTTCTTCTTTGGCCTTAATTCTTCCAATTCTTATGGTATAAACAGAAAAAGTAAGCACTTTAATCCTCTTGAGATTATCTACCTTGCCAATTTAACAAGCGATTAAAATTCCAAAGAGAATATATATAGCTCTATTCCAATAGCCACAATGATTGCAATCTCATCTTCTCTTTCAATTTGTGAAACTTCTAATTAATTATCTACTCTCCTCAGCTTCACTTATTTCTCTTTGCTCTCTCTTTCTTGGTCAGTGTTAAGAAATCATGCAATGAAAGGAATAGGAAACACAATCAATTATTGCAAAAAGAATTGAATCTCAGAATTTTTTCTATTCGTCAAGCTTCTGGTAATGAAACTCATCGATTCCATTATTTTCTAAATTATTCATTATTGTTATAATTCTGAAATAGTTTCTTGAATTTTAGCGAGTAGATTTCTGTACGTTTTTCAAAATTTCTGCGCTAGCAGCTGTTTTCTCAACAAGTCCGCAGCTGGTAATCAACACACTGAGCAAAGGTATGTCAGTTATGCACATTTATTTCAGTTTTTTTTATTTTGGTTATTCTTTTTCTTAATGTTGTATAAGTTTACCATGAATTCTAGATCAAGAAAAAGTTAATCCAAGTGGAATCTAATTCTAGATAACTCTATGATTTGCCTCGTGATGCAATGAAGCATGGAGAAGTTGATTAACATTTTAGAACTCGTTGAATCAGAATTTGAGCTTTAAGAAGAAAGAATATAGAAAAAATTCTTTCAATATTTTATTGCATAAGAATTATCAATCGAAAAAACTCACCCCAGTTACTGTGATATTGAAGGGAATATATGAAACATTAATGTTCTTTAACAATTCCCCAACCTTTTTTTCCTCTTCTTTTACAGTTTCCCATTTCTTCTTTTTTTCATAAAAATGAAATAAATTTGTAATTAAGTTCTTTTCTAATGGTTGATTACTAATTAATAAATTTCAACAGATTAAAGTTTAATCTTTCATAACTGTATTTTATATTTATATTTTTATATTTTCCCAGTGTGTGGGTTTTTCCTTTTTCGTTGTTGCATGGATCCATTGAGGAATTTCATTTTTCTTTTTGTCTTGATAGCTAATAAAATTGTTTTGATACGACTTCAATTGTTTCACATTTTTTGAGTCCATAAGTGCGATATTTTTTATTATTATATTGTATACATTTTTGAATGAAATTTTATAAAAATCTTTTAAAATGAAAGTCTACAACAGTACATAAAAGTTTGAAAGTCTTTGAAAATTTAGTTCTATAGGAATTTTTGAAAGTCTTTCTTTCATAATTCTATAGAATTTATGAAAGCCATTATTCTATCACAACCTCTACAAAAATCCGTCACTTGAAAAAAGTACGCGAAAGTATTTGAAAGTTTGAATTGATTACATCCAACCTAATTCCAATCTTTTATGAATTTGGAATATAATCCTTAGAAAAATAAAGAATTGTCCTGACCTGATAAAGTAAAAAAGGGAATATAATATAGAGCCAAAATTCATCCCAATTAAGTGTTCGTTCCACTGGTAACTTCTTGTGTAGAGAGCTTGCTTCATTCTTTCTGAGATAAGAAAAAATTGCAATTGACTCATGCAGCATATTTTAATCCAAAGTGTTTTCAAAATTACTTTTTAGTTCTATTAGCATTAAGTTAGTTCAATAAAATCTTTTAATCCAAATTCACATTTTTTATCATTCACACTTACCAAATCAACATCGTTCACCTGGAACGCCATTTAAAATCAACATATTTAAAATCCACATATTGTCTTAGCACATTCTCATTCCTAGTTAGTGATTCCAAACAAACTTATCAAAATAATCTCTCCTCTTTCTCTTTCTTTCTTATTAAAATAAAAATTATTGACGGCAAAATATAATTACGAATAAAATCCACAGTTTACCTAAAATTTTTGGACTACTCTTCACAAATTTCAGTATCAGGTATCTAGTTAAAAACTTTGGAACCGTCATAACATTGTCACGCAAATTCAAAAACTCATCAACTTCAACTTCTTCATCGAAAATTGGCACACGACATTGTTACTTGAATCCATACATTTGTCAATCTCTTCGTGGGCTTTTTGCAACAGTCATTATCAAAATATTTTTATATCTCAACATAAAATGGGTGAACTGTCATATTTCTAATTTGAATCAGCTATCTTATCAAATATCAATATTGTTTAATGTTCCCTTATCCAAAATAATATATATTCATCGCTCATGATAAAGAGGGATGAAAGGGTTATTATCGTCATCGAAGCACTCCTTCACCATTGATTCGCTTACTGCCACATGCCTACATCTCTTTGATTGTCAAACTTTGTGATAGAAATTCATTAATCTTGGTGCTATGACACCTCCATTTGTTGTGTTCCATTTCTATCAATCGTTAAGCTTGTTATATCTCCAACTCTATCAATTACGCATTCATTTACATAGTTGATTATCTCCTTGATGCCATCTCAACAAGGTACATAGATAAAGATTCAATACTAACATATAAAACAAAAATGCAACGAAGATAATTAACACTTAAAAACTCATTGATTCAATATTTAAATAATGAAAACTGTATAGAATATAGAGAAAACATCTCTAAATATTTGTCAATAACAATTTTTAATTAAAAAAGAAAAAACATTCAAGCTAGTATCTATTTATTAAGATTTAGAGTTCTATTTTAAAATGTCAAACAAAGGAGTAGTCCAAGCCTTTTTGCTATTTATTCCACAATTCTTTAATGTGGAATTTATTAATTTAGAATATTAATCTTGAAATCAATATCTCGATTAAGTCATAATCGAATTGAATTGCTCATTTCAACTTAATTAATTCAAATACCATTTTAAAATTTGATACTCCATCTTAAATGATCAATCTTATCCGTAAGAGTATCTCAAATCTTTATGTTATATTTTTGTTTCATGTCTATTTGCAATAATAAAAATTAAAAACCAAACCTAATTTATTATATTAAATAATGCTTTACATACTTTTACAAATACTTTATTACTCTTCCAAAAAATGTATTATTGTTTTATCCAAAAACTACATTTTCTCTCTTTACCCAATATTTTTCATAAATAATTTTTTTTATCGAGTTTCTTGTCTAAATAACATAAAATTATATGTTTAAGTTAAAATTATTTATATTTGTAATCTCTTTCGAGTTTTCTCAGAGAGGAAGAGAGAAAGAAGGGGGGGGGGGCAGAGAGAGAGAGAGAAAGAGAGACTATCAACTACAGGAAAAAAAATTACGCATATACTCTTTAAAATAAATTAACGTATAAAATGGAATGAACCTAATAATCTAGCTCAAAACAAATAAAAAATTTAATATTAGCCTAGAATTTAATAACTAACATAAAAAAAAATCAAATGACTTTTCTATATTTTTAATAAAACATTAAGTTTTTATTCATTTCAAGTTGGAGTTCTCAGAAAAATGAAGATAATATATTTTGTGAATCTCACACAATATAAATCCATCTATTAATGTAAAAAAATGTTATAAAAGATCATTATGTCTGGTATAAAATTTTTTGATAGATATTAAAATATTTTAAAATTTAAAGGTACCATGTTACATAATATAATAAGCATAGTGGAATTTTACTTATTTATTTATTTTTTACTTTTAATTTTTTTCAAATAGAGATACTTTAAACTCTTTAGCAAATTATAATGACGTATACGCAAGTTCAACATTTTTTATCAAATAATGTTTTTGTGGTGTTATAGTGTGTATTATATATGTAAATTATAGTTTGAAAAACACTATATGTAATGTGTAATACATCCTATATACACGGTGATCAATCAGTGATCAATCATTTTCATTTTTAGACAGTCTAGACTAGTTCTTTAGATCTTAGAAGTTTAACCATACTCTACAATATTTGCTTTAGCAGCAAATGGATCGAACTCCTTTTCAGAAATTCTATTGTCTTCTTCAAATTAAAGTCTAACAATTAGTTTTTCAATATTCATTTTCTTTGGCTCGTACTTACGATAATTCTTGAAATCGGATGGAGTCTAATAATCAGCATATAAGAATTATCTCTCAAATTAATGATAACAACTATCCGCTGTCTTCAGTTCTGAACTGTTCGGTTCTAACAGTTTTCTCTCAGTTAAGCCTAGAAAATTTTCCCTTCAAACATTAAGGAGAAAATATATATGAATTTTGATATAGGACCCTCGCTATGCTTGTGTGTGATTGACTCTTAATTCAATAGGTTCCACTAACATTGTTTGTTTTCCAGCTGATATACTTTCAGTTCTTCTGGTAATATCTCCTTGGTGAGCTTGGAAATACTGACTCAACTCATCGGACAAAAATAGAAAAGGTCATAATGGCAGAGTTCATTTTCGGTCCCTTTGTTGAGAAGCTTGCAGATTGCACTATTGCTGCAATTTCCGGCCAATTTAAGTACATGTTTTGCTACAATAAGAACGTTCAAAATTTGAGGTCTAAAGTGCAAGATCTCGAAAATAAAAGAAATGATGTGCAATCATTAGTGGTTGGAGCAAAAAGAAATGCGTTCGTTATTAAATCAGAGGTGAAAGCATGGCTGAAAAAGGTTGATGATTTAAAGAAACAGGCTGATGAAGTTTTGAACAGCACAACAAATTCTGAAATGCGATGCCTATACCTTAGGTGTCCAAATTTGAAAACCCGTTACTTGCTGAGTAGGAATGCTACAAAGAAGATTACTGCAATTGTTGAGCTCCAAGAAGAATGTAAATTTGGTGAGTTGGGCGTACGTGCACCACTAGAGTTGCCGTCTTTCCATGGGTTTGAGGCTTTGAAGACAAGGATATCAACTAAGGGGGATATCATAAATGCTCTAGAGGACAAAGATATCAGCATTGTTGGGATATGTGGTCTGCCTGGGGTAGGTAAGACGATAATGGCAAAGGAAGTAATGACTCAAGTCAAAGGTGGATTATTTGATGAGGTTGCCATGGTAGTTGTTTCTAAGGATGTAGACATAATAAGAATACAGGATAAACTTGCTGATATGCTCGGTTTGAAAATTGATGAAAAGACCAATGAAATTGCTAGAGCTGCTCGACTTACCGAAAGACTTACTCAGGATAGTAAAAAGAGAATTCTTGTAATATTAGATGATGTATGGACAGACATTAATTTGGAAACATTAGGAATTCCTTCATTAAATCGTCCCGAGGGGTTGAAAATTCTATTGACATCACGCTTTGAATATGTCTGCAAAGGGATGGGAGCTCAAAGGAACATTGAAGTTGGAGTTTTGCCTAGAGAAGAAGCTTTTGCACTTTTTCAAGAGATTTCAACAATTTCTAATGGTGATACTCAACTAATGGTTATAGCAAAACAAGTTGCAGAGGAGTGTAAAGGTTTACCTCTTGCACTTGAGGTTGTCGGCAAAACACTCATAAGCAGTAAACTACATGAATGGAGGAATGCTCTTAATCAACTACAAAATTCTCAACATGGTGATAGAGTATACTCAAGTATAGAGTTGAGCTACAACAATTTGAGAAGTGAAGAACACAGGTCCTTGCTTTTGCTATGCTCTCTTTTCCCTGAAGATGAGAGCATTCCAATTGAAAGTTGGGGAATTTGGCCAGATGACCCACTTGGACAATGATTTTGGACAAATAGCCTTTGACCATCATTAAAATGGAATAAAAAAATTTAAAATGTTTTAATTGATAAAATGACAAAATTGTCCTTCAGTTTATATCAAATTATTCACCCAACTTCTTTCATTTCACCTTCTTCTTTCTTCTTCCCTTTTCCTGTGAAACCCTATTCCCCAAACTTGAATTCCAAACCCATCTTCTTCATCTTAATTTTCACTATATTTCAATATTACAAAAAACTTTTCTTTGACTCTAGTTTATTTCACATTACTTTACCCTCTCTTTGGTACAAGTTAAGACAACAAAAAAAGGTAATTTTTTCTACGATTTTTTTTCTTTTTTGTTATTTTAAAATGTGATTTTGTGCTTCCATTACTATAGTTTTATAATAAAAATTTGTAAAAATTGCATTTTTTTTATGATTTCGTGATTTATTTGTATATTTAGTTTAGTTTTAGCTGAGTTTTTTTAATGTGAATGGATTTTTGATACATTTGGGGTTTTGAAGATGATGGGTTAAAAAAAAATTCATTTACTGGCATTGCTATAAATCGAAATTGTGATATGTAAATGTGCTTGTTCTTTGATATGCCTTGAAACTTAGAGAGTTGCATTAAGAATAATTTGATTTAAATAATTCGGCATTTTTAGGAAAATTCTTTATATTATGTTTTACTGTACCTGTCCACTTCCCCCTGGTTTTTTGTTCTGTATGAAGAAACTAGAAGAGTTGTACTTGGGATATTACAACAACAAAAGCTATGAAGAGAAAGAGCACATTATCCAAGAGGTAAGTTCATTGAAGGCTCTTAACACTCTTCAGATTGACACAGATGATACTCGGTTTCTGACGCAATTATTTCAAGGGTGCTCTGAGAAGCTGGAAAGATTTCAAATCACAAACAGTTACATCGAAGTTCCCGTATTTACACATATTCCAAGGGACCTAGATATTTTCGAGCTTCTGATGGAGCAGCTCGAAAGATTTCGAATCATCCGTCATCATTTGAGACATTTTCGAAGGGAGTTGGAGCTCCTTTATATTGACCCATACATGCTTTTGGAACCTGGAATTAAGTCATTCATGAGAAGAAGTGACAAATTTTTTCTGTCGGTGAAAGGCTGGAACAATCCTGCCATTGAGTTAGTTGAAGATGGTTTCATTGACGTAAAGAGTCCATCGCTAGGCCATTTGGATTCTGAGTATCTTATTGATGCTACAGGCTCCATTCCAAGTGGTATCTTAGACAATTTGGAATTTCTGGTACTGTCTAGGATGCATTGTCTGAAAGCTATACACAAAGGAAATCTTCCAAGGATGGAACATGTGGCGAGGGGTGTCTCAGAACCTGCACTGTTCCGCAACCTCAAAGAAATTGTATTATGTGAATGTGCTAAAATTAAAAGAATGTTTTCGGAGTCTGTTGCAAAATGCATGGTTAATCTCCAAGAGCTATTGATAATGTCATGCCAGTCGTTAGAAGAAGTTGTTTCAATGGACACACAAGAAAATGAAATTACTGAACCGCTTTTGTTCCCAAAGCTGAAAAAATTTGTGCTTTATAATTTGATGAGTTTTTTAAGCTTCAGATCTCAACCAAATGTAGTTGGTCTTCATCAAACATTGCTCAACCAGGTAATTTATATATTACTCCTTTTGTGTGCTTGCATCAATTCAGGAAAATAAGGGAAATTAGGAAAACTGATGTTGACTTCATTTATTTAAAATTCCATACTAGGAATGTAAAATCAATTAGAGTCCTTTTTGTAGAATGGCTTAGCTTTCTTAATCTGGACGTAGTTATACATCATCTCGACTCATCTACTCCTTGTTATTGTTGACCTGCAGATTAAGTTTTATGATGAGAACTTTGGCTGACATTATTAAGTGAATTTCACAGGTTGAACTGCCTGTCATGGAAGACTTGAAGATAGCCGGATTGGGATGCATAGAAAAACTACTAAGCATGGAGGAAACATCATTTGGATCTCTAAATAGATTAAGGAGAATGAGAGTGAACCATTGTGACAATCTAGTGAACATTGCAGAATCCAATTCGATTAGACTATTGCGAAATCTTGAAAATCTTACTGTACATTCTTGTAGGGCACTAAATGTAATATTTGATTTTGAGGGTCTAAATGTTAATAAAGACAATGAAGAAGAAATGAGTATACTTAGTCAACTACAAAGGTTATTCTTGGCGAGAAATGATTACTTGGTGCACATTACGAAGATGGTTCCTAATGGAATTCATGTCTTCCAGAATTTGAATCGGCTTGATGTTGCCTATTGTAGCATGTTGAGGTATTTATTCCCGGCTTCTATGATTAACTCATTTGTGGCTTTAAATTCTCTACACGTCAGTTTTTGCGATGAAATTGAAGAAATCTTTGGAAGAGAAGAAGAAGGAGGAGGAGGAGGAATGGCTAGCAAAATTGTGTTCTCTAAATTGATGACAATAGAACTAATCCGTCTTCCAGGATTCAAAATATTTTGCTCTCATAATTATGAACCTGTTTTCCCTTCACTTGTTCAATTGAAAATTGAAGATTGCCTTGAGATGACAAAATTTTGTTCGGGACAGCTAAATGTACCGAAGCTTAAGGAAGTACAGATAGGAGACTGCGAATATGGGATAAATCTCAATTCAAGTTTACTAGTTATGAATGGAATTTGAATTATGTAAAATAAAAGAAAATTTGATTTTATGATTATTCTAAATTAATCTAATAAAGCAATAAAAGTTTGGCTTTTATCAAATTATGAATACTTGTATTGGATTTCGAATATGCTTATTGCTATCTATTTCAATTCTTGATTTATAATCTAGTTTTGTTCATGCGTTCTTGACAATCGATAAAACTAATGTATTTAATTTTCTTTTCCAAGATAAATTAGTTCTATCCTAACCACAACCCAAATCTATTCTAGTCCAAATTCGAATGGTTAGAACGTATTAAATTTAAATTATCCATATGATTGCATAAGTGATAAGCGTTATTCTTATCATTTATTGCACATATATTAATTTTGCCCCGTTTTAAACTTATTGTGAGTCTTCCAACACTACAATAAGCAACTAATTATCTAATTGATGACCAATCAATTAAATAATGTAATGGGTATGCAAAATTAATCAAGAAATGTAAAAAATACTAAACTACTAATCTTGAATCAAAAATAGATAACAAATAAGGTTCATCTTCATCCAATACAAAAACAGATCTAGCCTAGCATGTTAATATATAAATTACAAGAAGAAAAATAGAAAAATATTACCTGAATCATGAAATAGTTAAAAAAAATGTTGATTTTCAAGTCCGAAGTTGAATTCTTCAATATTTTTATGTAATTGGCCTTTAATTCTTGCTAGGGCTTGATCGTCTCTCACAAAAGTAATAAATTGACCTCTTGTTCTTGATAAATTTGATGAAACTATTGTGTATGAAGAAACAAGAGAGGATTATATCCCTTATTTTCTATTTATAAAAGCCAAAAAATAGGTCAAAATCACGTTCGTTTTAAGTCTCAAAAGAGTTTGAATTGATGATTTGCGGGTAGGATTGGCAAAGGTTCGGTTTGGGGTCGGTTCAGCCAAAACCATTATCGAACCACCAATTTTTTGCCATACCATAACAACACTATAACCACGTAAGTCAGTTTCAGTTCGATTCGGTTCGTATCTCGGTTCGGCCCAGTTCTGGGCGGTTAATAACCATGAGAATAAATTATTTTTCATAAGTTCAATCGTCAAATTGAAAAAACAATTTATGGAAAAAAAGTCACACATGATGGCTATCAACTAATAGTCGAGTGAATTATATTGGAGCACTATAAACAATTTACGTTGTTGACCACTTACTAGATCAAAATTGTACAAAGGGCCAATGGATGGTACATCTGTAAGAAAGCAGCAACTTATGGTACCAAGGGTGATGTCTATGTTACTGATGACAAAATCAAGAAAGACAAAGACTATGTATGCTTAATTTCAAGCCAATCCAAATGCCTAAAACTAATCAAATGATTAAATTTACCGTAAGAGAATAAGTTTTTTGAAATTGAGATTGTCAATTGAGTTCGCTTCAAGAGCGAGTGGGTTGATAACCATCATATGTGATTGCAAAGGAAGAAAAAGATCCCTATGGAGTTAGTAAAATTAGATATTGTTTTTATACATATTTTGCATTGGAATATTATTTAGATGGAAAAAAATAAATTTAACCGGTAATTGGTTCAGTTCGGGACGACGATGTAAATACCATACCCGCACCGCCTGAATTGGTTCATTAAAATCAAGTACCATATTTGTCCCATTACACCATCGATTCGGTTTTTTCACCCCATTTGGTTTGGTTAACCGCAATTTTCGATTTTGACGGTTCAAATTGCCCTCCATATTCTCGGGCGTTGTTATCTCTGAATAGCTTTCGGTATTTTAGTCATAAGTTTCTCTTTCGATGTTCGATTGAGGTGATTCAAAATGCGTTGGAAATATAACTCAAAGTGCTAAAATTATTCTAGAATAAAATGTTTCCAATTTGAAACTTTGCTATCTGAAAAATGGGTCTCAAGTTGAGGCTAAAATTCGGAGCATATCTTCTTCAGCTTGAAATTGATTTGTGCAAATACTTCAACTCTATTTCACTCCTTTGATCTCCAAATTGCATCCAATTGATCATATATGATCTTCAATCATCATTTTATAGTCTGAATTAACAACTGAATGTTTACACTTTGGTCCCCAAACTTTGGATTTCTTTTGTTTTCGTTCATTTCTTTCAATTTCACCAATTTACATTGAGTTCAACTTAACAAACATAATTGACACATAATTGAGTTATAACTTATTTAAATCACTAACAAACACTCCAATTTACCGGGCAAGTAAGTGTGCAAATACACTTATCAAACACCCTAAAATTTGAACATTTTTTTTGTTCTCAAACAAAATTATTACATAACTTAAATAAAAAATTTTAAAAACATTGGCTAGATAATTTGATTTTGGTCCCATGATTGGAATATATGTATTAAGACTATGAATTGCTACAAATCACGTTGCTAAGATTAATATCCACTTATTTAATACAAAGCTAACGTGTGTGTGAAAATTCCTGTCAAGCATCATAAATTCATGAAGTTATTTAAGTCCCGACCCTCAATAGTCAAATATATCATTTCTTCTTTCGTAAGATTCACACCCCTAGACTTAGTTTTTAGCTCTTTATCCGAGATACGATCTAAGGTTGAATTTATATTCTAGTCCTCATCCTCTCTAGTTTTGTTCAATTCTACTAATTGCAAATCAACAATTCAACAAATGAAGATTCTCCTTATTTTTGATTGCTTCAATCTC